GGGGGGGGGGGGGGGGGGGGGGGGGGGGGGGGGGGCACGACGGCGGTTACGAGTGGCTGGCATAGATGAAGGTGGGGGTGCGCGAGAAGGACCGGCGGCGACACGTACTTGGAGTAGGGGAGGTACCCATGTCGTTGAGGAGTGGATGTGTGAGAAGGACAGGCAGGAACAGGGGGCACGAGCGTCACGAACGGCGTCGCGCATCAGTAATTTATTCATAAAACACGGCGTCGACCCAGCTAGAGACACCCACGACCGAAGAACGACACTCACCACAAAAACAATGAGCAAGAGTTGCCGACAAACACTCCAACATGCTGTGGTACACGTGTGTGCGGGTTTCCATAGCAAGCATCGACAGCGCTAACCGGCCGACTGTCCAATTAAAAGACGCCACGGAATCTTGAAGCAGGGTAACAATCGCGAAAGTACACAAGTGGTCGTGTCTGTATTCTGTGTGTGTCTGCCTCATCCAACCGGTACACCGTTCGGGATATTTTTCAGGATGACTCAGCCGGGATCACAAATCACATGAAACAGGTGAACATGAACCAAACGAAACCTCTCGGCGCAGCGTCGATGCATTGCTGGCTGGACTCTAGGTGTTTAAACAAGCAGCTACGTCTGCGGGACGGGAAACGCCGCATGAACAGAAGAAGAAACACAGAGGGATAGTGTACGCATACCAAAAAAACACGAATTCCACAATAAGCTCTGCAAAGGTTCTTCCCCACCGTAGTTGGTGCCTCTCAGAAAGAACAGGGGAACTCGCACCGCCTGCCCCCTCCGTTGACGATAGCAGCACCGCGCCTCCCCCGCCGGCGTTGGGACGCCCCGTGACTTGGACTGACTGATGTGGGGAGGGGAGGGCATGATGACGATCAGGGTGGAGGCATAACACGATGAGAGAGCCGAGATAATCATCGATGGCCCAGCACGCATCCGGTGCTGGTGTCGAATCTCGAGCGCTCGCAAATACAGAGTCTGCTCACTCAGGGTCTGGTTCAAAGATGGACAGCATGTCTTGACGGTGTGTGGCCAAATATAGAATGCGTGCCCCGCCGCCAGACAACTAAACTTCCAGATACATTCTGCCTCAAGCAGCCTCACCTGCACTACGCCGCTATCGCGCTCGTTTCCTTCGCCGGCGCTGCCGTTATCAGCAGCAAGCACTGGTGGCGTCGGTGGCGGCGGCATCCTGCTCCGGTCTGTGTACTGCGGAGCTCCTGAAATCCAGGCTGGACGCTCCGCTCCCGGACGTACCATCACCACCAGAAGCAGCAGGAGCAGCAACAACAGCAGCGGCAGCGGCAGCGGCAGCGGCAGCAACAAAAGTATCATCGACCATGTCAGTAAACGGACACACAGAGACGAGACCACCTCGGATAAAATGTACATATCACCGCTCTTGACCTACCTCGTGTGCGCGGCGAGCACGGAGATGTCAAACGGGGCTGTCATCTGCGCCGCCTGATCGGTCCTCGATAAATCAACGAGCAAAGCTAGAAATCGGTGGACTTCAAGATGGAATCGAATCCCACCACGACCTTCCCAAAGACCCCTCATCACAAGCATTCCTTTGCCATTGACTTACGCACTGTGGACCCCCACCTTGGGAAACACATCTCTTAACGTCCAGCATCGCGGCCCGCCGAGCCTCCTACCCCCTCCCTCGCCATGCTACGGCGCCCCCGACCCTCGCCAGGAGGGAAAACAGCCGCCTCTTTGACACGGCGGCATGCTCCTTGGGGAATCACCGGAACATGGCTGCAAACGGTGGGAGGCGGCGGAGAAACAAATGGCCTGTTCATGGATTGCGTACATGAAACACATATTAGAAACATTGGGGGTACTCGTAGCATGGTATGACGGGTAAGATCTTCAGTACGTACGTACGGAAATTGCAGTGATGAGATGCGGAGGAATCAGAGAGATCCGTTTGGTAGTTTGAGCATGACGAGCGTGACGCGTGCTTGATGCCGTGACAGATTTACGAGCGCGAGCACGCCCCCGAAGAACACAACAAGTTTTCCAATACGTCCCTCCCCTACCACGGCCCGTCATGGCCCAGCTGCTCTACACTCCCAACACACAGAACTGAGCCACCCGAATTATCGATCACGCTAGCGTATGAAACGTCATCAACGATATTCGCGTCGAGCTTAGTTTGGAGTTACATCGCCTTGCGGCGATCAGCAGCAGTCACCGATGATCAACGTCTACCGAAACCGAGACTGAGAGAGCGACCGTCAAGCAGTGGACGACGACGCCCGGATCAACGAGTTGGTGAACGAGAGGGTAGCAGCGAGACTGGATGAGATTACAAGGCAACAAGACGAGCAGCAGCAGAGGACAGATCACGTCCGGAGCGGGAACGACCACGAGACACGCCACCAGCAACATGCGGGGCGACCATCGGCCGGCCCGTCCGCAGACGACATCGCCCACACTCTCGCCGACGCCCTGACCAGCCGTCTTCAGATATCACCCGCAGACATGGGCAGAGTACCAAGTAGCGCAGCGACTCTTGGGATGACTGAGGTTAAGCGCCTAGCGCCGTGCGATGGTGTGTGTAGGCAAGGGGAGGATGAACAGGCAAGGTTTTTGATTTTTCGATCGAACATGATTGCTATGTTTGCGCAAGAAGGAGTCCGGGAAGTGGTATTGAGTGACCACAGAATTCCAGTTGGGCTAGAAGGAGTAGACATGGAGGACGTACGTAGGATGCACTCGCCTGAAACGGTAGAAAAGGCGATCACGGCGCGCAATTCGGTCATCACCACAATCACCTACATGCCTGTCTTGACCCAGATTATCGCTGATGGTGTGCATAGTCCCAGTGGGGGTTGGAAACAATTTCTAGCATACTACGAACCCCAGGCGAGAGCAGAGAAAACACGGTTGACTTCAGAATACCATGCCATCAAAATGCGAGTGGATGAAAGTCCGCAGAAATACTTTGGCAGATTTGCTGTTTTGCGCAGTAGGTTAGCCTCACACGGCGTCACATACCCCGACGATGATGACAACTTGTCTTCCGAGTACAAGATGGAGAAAGCTTTGCTGCGTGCCCTTCCGCCCCCCAATTTGACCCGTCAGCACCTTGAAAAGGTAGTGAAAGATGCCTATCAGGATATGGTGACCGCGCGGGAGGGGGAGCCGGAGAATGGCGCGGGGCACGCATTCGTCGCTGCCGGTGGGAACCGGGGCGACGGACGTGCCCAACATGGGTCCAGTGGGAACGGCGGGGGTCAGGACGGCAATGGAGGCGGTCGGAGCAGCAACAACAGGGCGGACGGAGACAGGCGCTGCGACTATCATCCGTACTCGTCGCACACCAAAAGCGAGTGCTACACCCAGCGTCGGCAAAGGAAGAAGCAGGAGACCAAGCAGCAGCAGCCTCAGCATCAGCAGCTGCCTCAGCAACAGCAGCAGCCGACACAACAGCCCCCGCAACAGCAGCCGTCTCAGCAGCAACAGCAACCTCGGGGACCGCCGCCGCAGCAGCCGAGCCGCAGTGGGGGGGGCTGGGGAGGGGGGCCC